GCATCTGATCGAAAAGAAGGTGAATGACGTCAACTGTTCGAAAATTCGATTCTTGGAAATTAGCAAGTGGAAGAAGAAGTTTACAAAGTTGTAATTTATAAAACTCAGCACAATTATATTATTAAAAAATTTAAATGATTTATTATTTTTTTCTTATTCTCAAGAAGTTCTGTGAAAACATAAATTTGAACCTTACGTTTGAGTAAAGCCATGTTAGAACACGTATTTTAGACGTCGAAATAAGAACGTCTAAATTAGGTTAGACGTCATTCGGCGTTTAGTTCTGAACGTCCTAAATTCACGTCTTTTAGACGTCTCAAAACACGTCTTTATTCCGTCCTAAAAAGACGTCATCTGGCGTTGCCATTTAGAAACAGTTCTGGACGTCCTAAAAAGACGTCCTTTCGACGTCATATGGACGTTGCCGTGCCCGCTGGGTTTCAACATGGAAAAAAAAAATATTTATACAGTATAAATCTTTGACGGTTTGTCAAGGAAATTTGACTAAACGGGTGAAAGTTGATTCGTAATACCTAGTAAACAAAGCTGTATCTAAATGGTTCAAACGAATGAGAGTTTATTATGTACCAATTTGTGGCTTGCTGGTAAAATAAAAGGCTTATATTTTGCTCTAGAATTATGTTTCAAAAAAGTTCAAGCTTCGGAAGGATAGCCAGACTAATTTAAGAAAATGAAAACTAATTTAGAGATAATTTGACAAAGACTCTTAAAGATATAAATCGTGTCTTTGACATGAATTTACTAGCTCATAAAAGAAAATCTACAATTACTGACTTTTTTTTTTCAAATTTAAAAGTTTAAAACACATAATGTATATTGCTTTGAGGCCTAAGAATTACTATTTGTTTGTTTGTTTGTTTGATTTCTATTTGTTACTTTGAAAAGAATATTTGAAAATAAGTAAATTTTCTATAACTTGAAAGTCTCTCTAACTCGAACTTTTATTATTCCCCATAAAATTCAAATTAAAGAATTAAATTATATATAATTCGAATTAAATTATATATTCGAATTAAAGAATTAAATTATATATAATTCGAATTAAATTATATATAAGTATAAAAATTATAATAATAAATTATATAAATATATAAAAATATAAAAATTATAAAAACATTTTTTTCAAAAAATTAGTAAAGAATAAATAATATGAAAATAATTTATCAATTATTTTATTAATTTTTTGGTTTATTTCTAATTAAATATTAATAAAATGATATCAAAAATTATTGTGACATTCACTTATCGTGACATTTGCTGCAACTGGCTCCCATCGATAGGCGCCGGCGCTGCGCTGGCAGCATTTTTAGTGGCATGTGCGCAAAAACAAAATAAACAGTCATTAAGAAAGTGGTGATACTGATATTATACGTAATGCATAAAAAAACATTCCTTTATATGAAGAAAAATACAACAAAATTCAAAGTAATACGAATTTTTAATTCGCAGTTTTATACTAAAATTTTACATTTTACAGTACTGAATGTGGAGTATATGTGAGGTATGTTTATAGTTTTTTGGCCGCCTTTTAATTCGGTCGCCTGCGTGCGGTGCCTTTTAATTCGGTCGCCTGTCTTCATGCTTATACTATAAGTATAGATATATCAATAAACATTTGTACAAACATTTACATATAAAACATTTGCATACAAATTAATTTTGATATTAATTTAAGTTTATGCATGCAGTTTTTTATGCAACTCTCTCATGTTATTATGAAACCTTTAGTTTTCTTAATTTCTATATTTTTGGTTTAAAAAATGTATGTCATTAAAACAGAGCTATTTATTAGATTATGATGTGTGTATTATTAGGTAATAATAATAATAATAAAAAAACTATATACATAGATTAACCAAAACATATAATTTTATTGTGGATTTTTTTATTCGTTTTATTATTATATACTTTTAGGTCTTATTATCATATTCTTTTATTTCCCTCTAAATTTTACATACTGACTTAAGTTCTAATCATTGTTTCAGTTGCAGGAATTATCTTGATTTATTTAAAGAGGACAGGCACAATTGTCAATTTCTGAAAAAAGTTCTCTATATGTAGGAATTTCTAAAAAAAAAAATAAAAAGTGCTACTTTAGAAAAAAAGTGGGTGAGGTGGATGGGAGGGGCCAGTGCCTCTTAATCCCCCTTTACCTGGTGTTGTTGATCTTGGTTTTAGATGATTTTATTAAACTGTGTATGAAAAATATTTTATATAAACAGCCCACAATTGTTTACACAATTTATCAGATTTGCGGATTTTCAGCGGTTCGTTGAAAATTTATAAACATTTTTACGATTTAAAAAACTTTATTTTTAAACAGCAATTTTTATATATTATCCAACCCCCCAGAAGTTCTAAATAGCATAAATGGTGTTTATTAATGTATATCTAACTATTTGTGAAAAAAAATCAGACCCTGGCGGTCACTCTGGTCCACAATGAATAGTACTTTTCGTTTTTTCACATTTTGAAAAAATTGTAGTCACAGTTTTAGTAAACCTATGAGTAAATATTTAAGGTTTAATATTTAATATTTAATATTTAATATTTAATATTTAATATTTAAACCTATGAGTAAATATTTAATATAAAAGTTTTAGTAAACCTATGAGTAAATATTTAACCTATGAGTAAATATTTAAATATTAAAGTAAATATTAAGGAAACCAACAAATTACCTAGTTATTTTAAATATATACTAACACTAATAACATGAAAATACATTTCAATAGAATATTAGTGTTATGCCTTAATTAAATATAACTTTATTATGTTTTTTAGTAATTTATATATATATATATATATATATATATATATATATATATATATATATATATATATATATATATATATATATATATATATATATATATATATATATATATATATATATAATGTCTATAAAGCAAGGTTGATAAGAAGTGTAAATAATTTTCTAGATTTCAAATCATAAGTTTTCCAAGGTTTAAAAAACAAACAAAAGTATATATACAACAACCCTCGGAATTAGGGTCGGCATTCAGCAATGTCGACCTATCTACCGACCTGAAAGTGTTTGAGGTTGATAAAAAAATGCCGACCTCATTTTTATGTTTTATGGTCAGACCTTTGTATCAAATAATTTTTGCCGACCTGATGCCGAATTGAATGAGGAATTAGGAAAAATGAGGCCGGCAAATTATTGCCGACCTCATTTTTCCTAATTCCGACGGTTGTATACAATCATGAGAAATCAGTTAGTTATCATTAGAATCATTATTCTAACTATTTCTGAGCTGCTCAAAAAATGTTTTTAACTTAAGATTGTGTCATTCAGCAACATCATGAAGTCATAGTGTAACTGGTTTTCAAACTAAAAAAATGTTGTTTTTCCGGACTGCTGTGGACCACTGATTTGAAGTTAAGTCAGAAATGTAATGCGATCTTTTTTGAGTTTTAGAGTAAATTTACCAATTTCTAGCCACGTTGCATTTGTTTAAAAAAAAAAAAGTTCGCATTCCGTAATATAATCTTAAATGTTATTTTTGTCATTTTAATATTTTATTAAATTTTGTTTCTTTTATTTTACAAAACAATTGTTAAATCTTATTCTTGAAAAACTATAAATTTTAAACGATATGCGATATATTTAAATTTTCTTTTATAATATAAATCAGAGATATATACATTGAAACTATATTTTATTGCCAAACTATATTTTGTCTAGTAATGACGCATTTTTTGGGGCTTAATGATAAGACTAAATCTGTCTTCTTCTAGCCCCGGTCATGTAATTTTTTTTTTTTTATAAGTTACGACTGTAAATTTTTTTTTTATCGGCAAAAAGCGTAAATAAATAAATATGCACAAACAAATTCAGATTCAAATAAAAAACTTATTAATGAACATAACTATAAAAAATTAAAAAAAAAAATTAAGTTAACACGTGTTTAAGTATTAATTTTTTAGATGCTAGCCATTTGAATTTAATTCTGGCCGCTTCTTACCTAATTCTGGCCACCGGTCAGATTTTAGATCGTTTATAAATTACGCAAAAAAAACAAACGAAATCAAGAAGTACAACCAAGAAATCATAACATAAGTAAATTATATTAGAAAGAAATTATAACTTCAATATTCAATTTAAATATAAAAAACAAAATAATAATTAAAAATAGTGAAAATATTTTGTTTTTTCCAGTAAGTTTTGAACTATTTTGAGTCTTTTTTCTTTCTGGTTTTTATTCTTTAAATTAATGTTTTCTTTTTCTATTCTTCTTCTATTAATAAAAAGTAAACAAAAAATTACATTTCACAGCAGTTTTTTTTTAAATGATTTTTTTGGGATAAGTTAAAACATTAGAATATATATATATATATATATATATATATATATATATATATATATATATATATATATATATATATATATATATATATATATATATATATATATATATATATATATATATATATATATATATATATATATGACTTCCTTATTATTTAGTAATAAAATTTTCTTTTATATAGAAATTCATTAAACTATAAAATAATTATTCTTTTAACAGTTTTATCGTGATTTACCTTTTAACAGTTTAATTATAGCATTATTTTACTTCTGGTAACGATCTATTCTATTCAGATCTAAACACAATAAAAAGTAAAGAAAATACTAGACTACGGCAATTTATATTTTATGGAATGATTTTTTTTTTTTTTTTTTTTTTATGTCAATATTTTTAATTCCCATACAAAAAAGTTTTCCGAAGAAATTTGCTGAAAAGATGCAAAAAAATGGTTCGAGTTAATAGTTACTATAATCCATTAGTAATCATTGGTTTGTTTTTTTAAACTGATGCAGGAACTTCTTTCTATTAGCAATATCTGAAAATCTTTTCCGTAGTATTTTTTTAAGTATGTGCATAATTTTAAACTATATTTATATATTACAAATTTTAAACAATTTTTTAACAGAAAAGAGAAGTAAAACGTGGTCTGATTAGAAAATGTTACATTTTCTGAAAGTAAAATAAAAAATTACAAGTTTAAAATAAAAAAAAATTATATTATTATTATTAAAAGTAAACAATCATTAACCAAGAACACGCTAGATCACGCTTGCAAAACCAAGAACACGCTAGCAAAATCAAGAACACGCTAGCAAAATCAAGAACACGCTAGCAAAATCAAGAACACGCTAGCAAAACCAAGAACACGCTAGCAAATAAAAAACCATAAAATATGAACTAACTGCAATATTTTTGTGTGCCGAAGAATTTTGAAGAAGTTTGCGCAATCTCTCAACATCATCTGTGATTAGAATTTCAACTCCTTGTGAAGACAGTGTTTTATATTTAGTTTGAAAAGCTAAATTTTGGTCTTCGGTGTTGTACATACTGTAAGCTGTATAAAATCCTGAATTTATGTCATTGCGGTAATTACTCTTTAAAACTTTTAATGTGTTATTTGGCAATGGTCTCTCTTCGTACACGTTAAGACCGGCAATAAACAACGATGCACCAGCTGCTTTAAATAAAATTCCACTTTCAATCAAAAAATGATAAAAATCTAAAGTGTTGTTTGGAGCTTCAAAGAAGCATTGTTGTAATTCAGGAAACAAACCTAAATCCCAGCTACTTTTTGGAATAAGTGAAAAGTCATTCATAACCAAACTTCCAACGACCAGGTTTTCATTCTCTTTTTTTGCAGCACGAATTTTTCTATAATCAAACGAGATTACAACAACTTTCTCAACTAAATTCATTTCGGTCACTAACTTAGCAACTTTTTGACCAATAATCTCGCTCTGTGAATGATCGTTTCTATCAAAATACTCTGGTTTCATCTACAAAGTAAAATATAAAAAAGTGAGGTTTTTGGAATTTTTTTTTTTTTCGTGATTGAGTATAGCTTAAAATATTATCAATTAAAAAAGTTGTGGAATCTTCTTTTTATTATTTTTTGGTTTACCTCTAAGACATGCAACAAATCTGTATCTTTCATTGCTGTTAAAACATCTTCAAGCAAAGGTATTTTACTTGTGCTTTTGAAACGATACTCTTTCCCGCCTAAAAGTATAATATTTTTTCGATTATACATTTTTATTAAATATAGGGTAGATTTGAGTAATATGAGCACCTAGGTAATATGAGCAACTGGATAATATGAGCGCCCGGGTAATATGGGCAAAGCAAAAGATTTCTATGACGTTAATAATACAAAGCAGGTTGCTTTGTATTATTTGAATTGACTTTATGTAGTGATAATAGAAAGGAGTATGATTGCCATAAATTTATACGCTGTAATTAGCCACTCTTATCTAATTAAAATTTAATTTTTTGTGCTGTTAAAATTATTAATCATTACACAAGAAAGAATTTGTGGAGCGAAATTTTAATGTTGATATAAAGATATTTCTTTTTTCTTGAAGAAAAATATATTAGCTAAAAATCCGTTTTATTTTGTTTTGAAAAAAATGTATAAAAATATTTTGACTTCATTTAGAAGCACCATTTTCGAGTAATATGAGCATGCTCAAATTACCCAATGTTCTTTGTTGAAAATACCTAGTTTAAAGTTTAAAAATTGCTGTGGTTTGAATATTTTTTTGAATAACAGCAAAATATAGTAAAATTTTTTGATAGTTTAAAAATACTAAATATCTTTCTTTAAACTAAATTTAAAAAATTTATATTTTTTTTGTTTAAAATTTTCAATTAATAAAATTAAAAAAATAACGAATTATTATTTTTTTCCTTTTTCTAATGCATAAGAGAAAGTAGTACTGTTTTAATAAAAAGTGGCTTAAAATTTGATCTTTAAATGATAGATTTTGTTAATAACGAATAAGTTCTAATTGTCAGGTTTGTATTTCTTTACTTAATTAATGGGTTTTTTTTTTTAGCTGGTTTAAAGTGCTCATATTACCATTTGGTCTGGGCATAGACATTTAATAGCTGGAGGAAAAACGAAGTCGAAAATGATTTCAAACTCGATAGAGTCTTCGTTGTATAATAGACGATTTCGGAGTTAGCGTAGCCATCTTGGAAAAATATTCTTGGGGGTGCAAGTTGAACTTTGAACTTTCCGTTTTTATGCAAACTTTCATATAAAAGTATGAAAATTTTCATAATTTAAGTTCAAAATAACTCATAGTTTATTAGTTAATTCTTGGTTTAAAAATATTAGCGAAAAATGGTAAACTTGTTGCAAGAGCTTTTGCTGTTATGGAACTTATCCTTGAAATTATATCTTCACAATTTAAAAACAAAAGGAAAGGTGATATTACACCTTTTTTATGGTTTTAAATTTTGTATTTAGTATCTTAAATGGTGCAAACTATACCGTATGAAAACTTTAAATCAAGAATTCACTTTAGTACATACATTTTATTACAGTGAACTGTTTGATCTCATTATAAAATATTAGTTATTAGTTTAAAACTAGTTAATTAAATTGTATGTATTATAATGCCAAGTCAAAGCAGATCTTTAGTTAGTGTCTTTATTAATGACAAAAGATACCCTGACGAAATTATAAAACAGCAATGTTGAAGAAAATTTAATAATATACTTTTATTGCTTTTTTTTAAATAAAAGCATTTAGTAAGTAATATCTAGTATGAAATATAATGCCAATTCATAGCAGATGTGTAGTTGGTGTCTGTAATAATTACAAAAGATACCCTGACAAAATTATAAAACATAGCAATGTTGAAGGAAATTTAGTAATGCAAAGTTAAAAACATGTAAAGAAAGAACAAATGCATGATACATTATGGTAGCACTAGTACAAAAGATTTTGTTGTTCCTAAAAACTTTTTTGTTTGTTTAAATCACTTCCTTGAAGAAAAATCTACAAAAGATAATCCTGATCCAACTTTGTTTTTAAAAATCTCTACTAACACCATAGCAACACCAAAAAAGAGAAAAGTACGTAAAACTTCACGAAACTCAATTATTAATTCTTTAGTTATGAAAGAAATTAATTCAATGTTGACTGTGGTGATTCTGAGTTGAATTTTGTTGTTGCAGATGAAAGAGAAATAGCATCATCTAGTGAATTTCTAGTGTCTGTCCCAATGATGTTCTGCCAGTTGACACGTGAAAATGATGTGCAATTTTTTTACAGGTTTGGTGAGTACAAAAAATTTTCAGGTGTCTTTAATTATCTCAAACAAAGCTTCTCTTATGACGTATTGGGATGGCAGCAACAAAATTTTGAAATTAAGAAAAAGGTCAAGTTCTGTTGAATTAACAGAAGCAATATTATGTCTCCTGATTATGATGTTGATGTTGAATCATCTATCGAATTTGAATTAGTTTCTTTCATAACTAAAACCTTTTTAGAATTAATAATTGAGTTTTGTGGAAAAAGTACTTTTCTCTTTTATGGTGTTGTTATGGTATTAATAGAGATTTTAAATAAAACAAAGTTGGATCAGGATTATCTTTTGTAGATTTTTTTCTCAAGGAAGTGATGTGAACAAACAAAAAAGTTTTTAGGGACAATAAAATCTTTTATACCAGTGCTACCATGATGTATCCATGCATTTCTTCTTTCTTTACATTTTGGTAACTTGTGCATGTCCGGGTATTATTTGTCATTATTACAGACACCAACTATACATTTGCTAAGACTTGACATTATATTACATACTAGATATTACTTAATAAATGTTTTTATCTTAAAAAAAAAAAAAAAAAAGGCAATAAAATATATTAACTAGTTTTAAACTAATAACTATTTTTTTATAATGAGATCAAACAACTCACTGTATAAAATGTATGCACTAAAGTGAATTGTTGATTTAAAGTTTTCATATGGTATAGTCTGTACCATTTAAATTACTAAAATAGAAACTTTATTTTTCAATATAAACTATATGTGTAATTAAATAAAAAAAATGCAAACTTATTTTATATTATAAAATTTAAAACCATAAAAAAAGGTATAATATCACCTTTTTTTTTGGTTTTAAATTGTGAAGATATAATTTCAAGAATAAGTTTCACAGCAGCAAAAGCTCTTGCAACAAGTTTTACATTTTTTCCTTATAATTATAAACCAAGAATTAACTAATAATCTATGAGTTATTTTGAACTTAAATTAAGAAAGTTTTCATACTTTTATATGACATTTTGCATAAAAACGGAAAGTTCAAAGTTCAACTTGCACCCCCAAGAATATTTTTCCAAGATTGCTACGCTAACTCCGAAATCGTCTATTATTCCAGTGGTAAGTCATAATGGCGCTTTTGCGAAAGAATGAAAAATTTTGAAATGTAATTTGTAAGCTTTGAAAGCTGTAATCAAAGTGAACTAATTTTTATTAGATAGACTTTTAACAACTAGTCGATCAATTAAGAAGTTAATTACAGCAAAAAATCACGATTAAAGTGAAGTAATTGTTTCTTGCTCACCTCAATTATCGGTATAAATATCAAAGTTTTAGACAAATTTTACTGCCTGTTTAAAATTTATTTTTTGCTTGCCTGTTCAGCTCTAGGTTTGTTACATTCTTTAAGAATGCGCTTTCAGCCAGGCACTTATTAAATCCCTCCAGGCTTTTATTTTATGTTGTAGTATTTTCGCTGTATTTAATAGCAAATTGTTAATATTCTAAATAAAGAGATATAAAATACTTTTTTGTAAATTTGGCAAAAATACTACTAATTCTTATCTAGACATTTATTAATTTAATACTAATCCAGAAATTAATTATTAATCGTTCAAAAAGGACAACAACAAAAAACAACAACAAACTGACTTAAAATATTGTTTACGAATTATTTAAACTTCCATCTTTTATTTGCAATGCTCCAATTGTTTATGACGTTTGAAACAATATCATTGGATAATTTTTGTTAAAGTGGAATGTGATTAGTTAACTTTAAATTATGATAATTACGCAGTGTTTAATAGAAAATTATGTTACTACTAAGATTGTTTTTGAGAAATGATGTATTCTAACTTCGTTCTCCGTCTAGTCTATTATAACTCCTTGGTGTGGGTAATGTGAGGATATTCACTACTGTGCATTTAAGAAAAAAATTCGGGTGCCCAAATACCTGAATTGATCATAATGCATGATCCTTAAAAATGTTTATTCGCAAAAATTTAGTATCTAGCAATTTTCGCTTTAAAAATGGTGTTCATAATAAATATCTAATCTCTCTAATCCAAAAAATAATTTTGTTTATAAATGTATATTTTATTTAGAAAATAATAAACTTTAGCGTTTAAAATGATTACCTCTGATAACATTATCTGTGAGGTTAAGTTGTAATAACTCATCGTATGTGCAATCTGATACATTTTTATTGACACCAGCTAGGTCCTAAAACAACTCTAAGGCATTTTTCACTGAAATCGAAATATATATATATATATATATATATATATATATATATATATATATATATATATATATATATATATATATATATATATATATATATATATATATATATATATATGATACTTTGCTATATGTATAGTATCGTATACATATTTGATACTAAGTTAATTTTGTATATATAAACCTTACCAGATCTGTAAATATTGAAAGATCAAAGTTTATAATTTTTTTAACTTCCAAATGATTTAACTATAAACAAAATAAGTTAATTAAAAACTCACTAAAGTATTTTCGTAGTGGAAAACTATAAGCTTTTTATCTTTAGTTAAAAATATATCCAACTCGTATCCGTCTGCTTTAATATCAACCGTACTTTTTATTCCTTCCAATGTATTTTCCAGATAAACTTTTGGTTGACCGCGATGCCCAATATAAATCGGCTTGTTTTTTTTGTGATAAAGGTGGTTATCAGGAATTTTTGAAAGCAAACGTTTTGGACAACTCTCCGGAATTTGACCTTTAAGTATTAAATTTTAGCAATAAATAGAAATAAAATTCGAAACTTTCAAGCGTGTTATCAAACTCACAACTTAAGGTGGTACTACCCTACATTTTTTATTTTTCAAAATCTGATATTTTTCTTAAAATGATAAACATTTTTAAAATAGTAGTTTAAAAACTGAATATGATAGTAGTTAAAAAACTGAATATAAAAAAGATCATTTTTTTACTTATTTGTCACAAAAAAATGCTGAGTCAGCAAATAAAAGCAAAAAATAAAGCAAATAAAAGCAAATGCAGTCACAAGAACATAAATAACTTGAGTAATATTTAAGAATAAAGCTTTAAATCTTACAAACATATAGCTAAATGGTTGGTAGAGGGCCCTTAGTAGAATTTTTTAAAAATATAGAGCCAATGTAAAATGGCAGATATTAACCTGTAAAAATCATAAAAAATGGTCCGTTAGGTATGTAAAATTTTATATTCTGGTCAAAATAAACAATATTTTTTGATATTTTAACTACCAACCCTTTCTACAACATCAATGAACAAACTTTGAAAATTTCAAAGAAAAAGAGTAAATAGTTTCTGAGATATCAATGTTCTAGTTTTAAAAAATTATTTTGAGAAAAATAGCTTTTAAAATAAAAAATGTCATAAACTAAAAAAATCTAAAGAAATCATAAATTAAAAAACATCTAAATAGCCACAAAAATATGATTAACCACCTTTAATATTTTGTTCTGTGTCAAAAAAACCTTTTTATAATACCAATGAAAAAATTGTGAAAATAGGGCAAACATATAAATAGACATGGTTGCTAAGGCCGTTGTTAGGGTTTCGAAAGTTACCTTTTTGCATTTAAATACTAATTTAAGTACTTTATATTGATTTTTAAAAGGAAAAAAAATTATAATCGTGATCCAGGATGTTCAAACTGTTAAAGTTAAAAATTTTTTTTTTGTAAAAAGTATGAAAGTTGTTATTAAGAAATCGTAAAATGTAATTGAGAAACAAAATATATAATTTGGAGTTCATAAATTGTAATTAGCTCCGTGAAAGTTTTTCCAAACGAACCAAAAAACTTTTTTTTTTTTAATAAACATCCTATAGTGATTGTGAAAAGTCGTTTTTGTTACAAAAGTTTCTTTCGTGTTTTCTTTCTGTATATATTCCTTCCTTGATATAAAGTACTCATTGCATCTTCCAATGTAAAAGAATGAAAAAAACAGAATATAACTAGTTCAACAAAGACACAAATAACAGTTGCGTTCAAAACTTCATTAAAAAATTTTTTAATACTTCATTTTTAAATAAATTAAGTTTAAGACTTTAAGAAGTAAACTTACACTTTGTGCAGGTTATGGTACTGGTAAGCTCTTATAATGTGGGACAAGTACTGTAGATGATGGTTTGTCTGGATATTGAAGAGCTTTCCTTACTTTGGCTTTTTTACACTTTTTAATATAAATCATAAAAAAGTAGCAGTCATTGGGATGGATAATCGGCTCTCTCCATACTCTGCATTTATGATTTTAGAGATATCTCAATTTAAAGTTGACCGGATTTTTCCGCGTCCTCCCGATAACATTTAATAATAGTATTATTGAATATTTATATTAATATTATGGAATTTTTATAATAGTATTATGGAAATATTGATAACACGAAAATATGCAAGTTCATTTTTTGGACGTCCTTCTTATTTTTTGTTACTCCATCTGTCTTACTCAGAACTCCTTTAACTATAGTCCAAAAATCTTCAATCTTGCGCTTTTCAGAACGATTTGGAGGATTTGAATCTTTAGAAAAATTTTTCACATTATTATCTTTGCTAAAGAAAAGCAACCTTAGCAGAAGCTAATTTAGCAATCGATTGTATATATGGTTTCCATGAAAGGTCAGTAGTAAGCGATAATCCAAGAAGACGTAAAGAGGAGGACTCAGTAAGAGGATTGCCATTCAATAATATAGGAATATTGACCATATTACGGTATTTGTTTGCAGTAAGCAACTGTTTTAAGAATATATATTATTTGTTTACAAAAATAATTGTTTTAAATTTATATTAATTAAATTGTTAAAATTTTAAAAGTTTATTATAAATTTTAGGTTTTATTAGTATATTCTTATTTTTTATTTTAAAAGAGATTGTATTCATTATGTAAATGTAATTTAGTGTATTTGTTTTTTATCGTAATGTATCTTTTAAAGCAATTTTTATGATTTAAATAAAGCCTTACAAAAATAATTGCGTTTTCAATGAAGTTTTAATCGTTAAAGATAATAAAACTAATTATGTAACAAACCTATAAGAAGTTTCTGGTTACTAAACACAAACAACGCATACAAAGTAACTCGCGGATGAACAAGCATCGCGCCTGAGGTCACGACAGAACACAAATATATATAGCAAATAATTAGATATAAAGAAAAGTTTCTAGATATTGGTTTCCTAACTCTAATTATTTTTGCTCAAGTTGCCATTCTTAAAACTCGTTATACTTTTTTCTGCTTTAAATACTAATTAAAATTAAAAAGCCCTCTCACTAAACATCATCAGCGATATTGTGAAGCAGTTTCGCTTCCTGGTCATTAAGTATTTTTAACCTTTTTAGTTGATTTCCATCTTGTTAATTTAATTCCTACGTAATTCAATCATTTAATTATTTCATTTGTTTATCTTACTAAGAAGAATCGCTTCAAATATGTTAAACTTTTCAAACTACGCGAAACATAATATAGGTATTAAAAAAATTAACTTTTTTATTTTTAAAATAATTTAGCTTAAGTAAAACAAAAACTTGCAAACTTAGATAAATAAAGAATATTTGTTTCCCTTTTAAACAATCGTAAGTTGTTACTTTATATAAAAAACATTGCTTAATTTTATAAAAAAAGTTATAAAAGAGCGATATTTCGAAAATATTTGTTTTAAATGTAATTTATTTACCTTCAAGTTTTTTCGCGTTTAAGGTGGTAGGCCTATGAAAAACTTTTTTTAAGCATCAAAATAAAATTTACAATAAAACTAAGCATTTATTACCAATAATTATGAGACTAAACATAAAATCAAAAAAATATATAAAAAAGTGCCTCGCTTGCCTCAAAAATTTATTAAAAAGTGTGAAAAAAACGAAAACTTTAAAACACTATTTCTCAAAAGTGACAATAGATCAAAACTCCAAATTTGGTATGGTAGTTCTATATATGTATAAAATTCATTTGTCATAGGATTTTTTAATCTGCCTTCCTGGTTCAGATTATATTGACTTTTAAACTTGAATATATATTTTTATGAAAAAACTTTGACAGATAAAACCACATTGTAGCGCCCCAAAAAAAGAAAATTTAAAAATCTTATGACAAATGAATTCTACATGTATGAAGAACATATCCTGAAAATTTCAGCTTAACTGCTTAATTTAAACTGGAGATATCATGTTTTGAAATTTTAAAAAAAACTAAAAATCTCAAAATGAGAAAAATCAAATCAAAAACTAAAAATCAAAATTTATGTCTATAAACACTTCTTAAAAGCTACCAGAGCTATATGAATCTGTTTTTTCAGTATCTAAGTATCCCTTATAAAGAGATCTAAGTTTTTTTCTTTGCTTTTTGCATATTGAAGTTGATTTACGACGGTTGTTTACAATTCGTTTTTGGTCCTTTAAAACCAGTTTTGGAATAGTCACTGATCCTAACAATCCAAAGTAACTTAAAACAGATTTTACCCCATCTCCACCATCATTATAATGAACTATTGCAGAGTTTATACAAAGTTCAAATGTTCTTCTATTTACAAAAATATTTTTAGGACAACGAGTCCATAAAATTGAATGAAATGCTTCATTTGAATTTTGCGTTTGGCCATGTACACATTTTCTTAGCAAATCGTCATCAGATAAATCTTTAAAAATAGGTTTTATTATATTATGAATAAAGATAGGTAAGTTAATTTTGTTAGTGTGTGTATTTGTACCTTTAAGTTTGTCTAGTTGCCACTTGCACCAGGAATATTCATCCCTAGGACACATAGAATGACGAATGTTATTATCACTGAAATTTGTGCTATGCCACAAAACTGCTCCCACTGCTTTTTTCATTGCATAAATGTTGTCAGTGTTGTTTCTAATTGCAATACCATAATAATTCAGCATTGAGTTAATTGCACTATTAGTCAAATTTCCTTTTCCATGTAGGGGTTTCTCTGTTCTTTTATACTTCTGTACGATATTTCGCAAGCGTGTACCAAGTCGCTTCTGCACATGCCCAATGCACTCCAATTTTATTGGTTGAAAATTATAATTTTTATATGGATTAGATTCTTTAACTTCTTTAAAAGATGAAGTATCACCATCCCCTAGGTATTCATGATAAATCAAATTGTACTTTTTAACTGATCGAGAAAAGATTTCCAATGCGCCAGCCGCCTCCATTGCACCAGATGACTTTGTATGGTTAATGTGACATATGTGATCTGCTTTCCATCTGTTGTAGGCTGGTGATCCTCTATGTTTTTTCCACATTGAACAACCTTTACAATGCTTAGAAAAAGCTTTAGTATCTATAATTTTGTTGTTGATGACAGCAGTTACAACACCATTTAGTGATGTAAAGCCCCGCTTTTGCCAAGAGCCATCAATTGTTACTCTTTGTTTTGTTGGAATACCTAATGTTTTGTCTTGAGCTTCTTCAGCTGCTTTTTTCATACTATTAAAAGCAGCTTTCTCATATGCTGTATAAATTTCATTGTCATTAAGGTTAGAGAATGGTGTTTTAGATAAAGAACACATGTTCATGCATTGAGAAAATGTTTCCATTGCAGTAAAACCTTTACCGATTTCACGAAAACCAATTACTGTCCTTGCATTTGCTTCAAAGATTTTAGGACCTTGACCATGGTTTTGTGTATTACATTCTTTTGATGTATAAACAGATTTATTTTTTTATGGCCACATTCAGGACATACTAACAAAGGTTGAAATACACTTTTGAGTACAGAGAAATTTACGAATAAAAAGTAATCATCTTCTTGTTTTATTACTTCACTGATTGTATTGAGATTAGTTTGATTCATAATTAGACTCTTTTTACTTATGCTAGATGTAACTTTTTCTGATGAAATATTTGAAAGACATTTTTTTGAGTATTTATTTACAGGAGGCTTCTTCTTTCTTTTTCGTGAAAAATTTTGCTTACTGCTTTTGCCAGAAGACATTTATTACGATTATACACAAGTACAAATTGATTGATTTAAATTAAGAGTTGAAAAATTCATAAATAATGATTTTATACCACAGCTAATATAAACAGTTTAATATGGCAATTATTATAAGAAAATGTAACTTTAAAGCATGACTAAAAACACCGCAGATCTATATTATATTGGAAAAAGAAGCTTCACAAGATTTGTCATTTTGGCCATCTAATTTGGGTAAAATAAGGTCTTAATTTTTCGTTGCTATGACGTTGCTAAGGTAAACAAAAAACTAGCTAACAAAATATGTTATTTAAAACACTTTTAATTTAATCAAACCTAAACAAGTCATATATCAGCAGATAGAGGATAAATTTTTACATAAATTTAATATATTTCCTTTTTTTTCAATTTTTGATCAAAAATCTCTAATTTTCATAGGCCTACCACCTTAAAGATATTTTATTTGCCTATTCTTTTTTTTTTCTTTTGTAATTGTCTCCATCGGTCCAATTATTCTTTTTTTTTTTTTGCTTTTTAAAATGTTCTCAAAACGACTAAAAAATCTGGCCAGCTTTTCGCAACTAAATATTATTTACGTGGTCAGCAATCGAGAGCGATCGCTCCCGCTTCCCGACCAAGCCTGCGTCAAATATATTTAAATTGATCATCGAGAGATTTATCTTTGTTCTTATAGTAAAATTGTTGACCAGAAAGTAGTGAAAAATCCGCCTTGTAATATATTTGTCGTCTGCAATTATGCACATTCTTTTATCCGACATTATTATAACCAACTTCTTTGCGCATCGAATTCCTTTAACTATACCATTTATGCTTCTCTTAGGTGCATTTTTCTTATGAAATGCTTTAATTCCAGCATTTTAAAGTAGTTTTTTTTATATAAGAATTCGAAGTCTTGAATATTCTTGCTAGATCTTGCTGCGACTGTTTCGGATTTCTTACTATTGAACTGAGAATCGAATTTACCTTTTTGGATTTATGGAAATTTTTTTTCTTCTTTCCTAGGTTTTTTTTGAAGCTTTGAATAGTCTTGAACTTATTTACGATATCTATGACTGTAGATTTTGGGACATTTGTACATTTAGCAATCAAGCGATATGAAGTCGATGGATTTTTTGAAAAAAAATTCTTTATTTTTTTACTCACCTCAATTTGTTCTGAAACATTTTGAAAATCTTTGATTTGTAAACAAAAGTTTATCAACACAATTAAAGATAAGGAAGTAACGTTTAATTAAAAAAAAATAATAATAATAAACAAAAGAAATAAAAAGCATTTGAGGTTTTAGAGAAATCTGAATTTAAAGTTGACCGAATTTTTCTGTGTCCGATAATTGAGCAAATTGTTAGATTTATTGTTAAAAAGTTCACTGTACCTCGAGAATCGAAAGTGCATGCTGCGTTGTAATAATTTAAGTTTGTCTACTTTGTAAAGTCAACTTGGTTTAGAAAAAATTAGAAATTTATAAGATTTTATATCCTTGATATCTTTGAATCAAACTGCTTTGTGTATTATTTCACAATATGCTTTGTCTATTATTTAAAATATGCTTAAAAATATTTTTTAGCTCGGTATCATAAAAGAAACGTTACCTTGGCAATTTCTTTTTTTTTTAAGTTTTATCAAACAAATATTCTTATATATTTATATATAATATAATACAAAATATCATTAATCAGGAAAAAAAGTTTCAAGTTCAAAAAATCTTACTAGTAGAAGAATAAAGATTTAAAAAACCAATAAGTAAAAGTATCACAAACATGATTTTTATCATCACAATATTTGACTTTTTTGTAAATTGGAGTTTGTTCCTTATGATTTATTCTGAAAATAACTCAAAACAACTTTACCACACGAAAATACAAACATCATTTAACACTTTTGGTAAACATTTATTAACTTAGCTAAATCGTAAGTTTTTTATTTTATTATACTGTTATTTTATTTTATTATAATGTTATATTATTTTATTATACTGTTGTTTATTTTGTCTGGCTTTAACCTAATATTTTTTTAAATATGAGTTATTTAAAAAAAAAAAAAAATTTTTGTGTTATTATTAACACAAAAATTATTGCGAAAAAAAACTGTTAGTAATACAATGAATGCGAAAAAAAACTGTTAGTAATGCAATGCAAATGAAACAATTATATTTTCATTATTGTATCAATAATCATTCTTTCCTTGCATGACTTTTCGGTTTATAAGTGGAAGATTTGTAATAAAACTAAAATAAAAAATTCATATACTTATCATTTGGTCACGTAATCGGGGGAAGATGGCTAAATATATATTTTTGACCCCAATTATAATAAATTTTAAAAAACTACAAACTAAGTGATCTAAAGTATTGAAAAATAAACACGCGTCGCAAAAATGCTAAATAAACAATAACTCTAACCATAACTATTATTTTAACGTAAAAAAACTTATAAAATCGTGTTTACAATATTCAGAAAAACCAATTGATTTTTTAAAATACAAACTCTAAAGACAACTTACTCTTATTTGATTTTTTTATGATTTTAAGATAAAAAATCAAATAAAAAAAAATAGTAAACAAGCCTTAAAAGCAATTACTGTTTTTATCCGTAAACAAGAAAAAGAGTTATGTCTAAGTTATGTCGATATTTTTTAGCGTGTGCCGAAGATCACTTCTGCAACTAGAGCAATCAGGTTCATCCGGACCACTGTTAATAGATTTTTCCGAAAAATAAAAAAAAACTAAAAGTATAAATGAAAATATGTGCCTCCATTAATTATTTTCTTTTATAATGAGACTGTTCATCTCGTTTTTGGGGAGAAATGGAAATTGAAGCATAGTTATATAATAAATGCTATATTACACATACAGGCCTTGCGATAAAGCGTCGGGCGATGTGAATTTTACGTCGTCCAAGAGCGATTTTGCGTGTAGCTAGGGCTATTTGCGTCGAGCAAAAAATTTTTTGTTTGAGTATATTTAAAGATATTTTTGAGCGGAATTTTAATGAAGTAATTTACGAATATTTTAACATTTAATAAAGTATTTTAAAAACCGCACGCAGTTGAAAAAGTTTGAATTTAAAAAAATTAAATATGCTCATTATTTACAAGTAGAAAAAAATCAAAAATTAAAAAAAAAGTTTAAATCTTTTAAGCTAACATTTAATTAAAATTGAACAAAAATACTTTCTTTAAGTTTTAGATTTTAAACTTAAATAATTATTTTACGGGGGTTTGTTAGGATTTAAAATTATTCCATAGATTTAAAAATATTTATTAACTGTTAGACGTATTTAAAGTATTTAAAAGTAATTTCGAGGAAACATTTTAAAAATTGGTGAGGGCATATAAAAAAATAAAAAAGGATTAATATTAAAACGTATTCTACTTGATTCAAAAAAAAAGTACAGTTATTAAAATTTTTGTAAAAAGTAACTCAAAAAAATTACTTAAATATTAACGATCGCTTTTATGTTAAAGTTACCGAAACTCAACGAAGCGTGCTCAAGAACAGCTGCTGAAAAATGCTTGGTGTTAGATACAGTGAAAATTCACTGTACTTAAGGTAGCGTTTTTCGCTAAATACAGTGAAAATTCACTGTACCTAAGAAAGCGCTATTCGCTAAATACAGTGAAAATTCACTGTACCTAAATAAGTGTTTTCGCTAAATACAGTGAAAATTCACTGTACCTAAGGAAACGTTTTTCGCTAAATACAGTGAAAATTCACTGTACAGTGAAAATTCACCGTATTTATCAGAAAAGCTTTTAAGTTACAGTGAAAATTAGTTTAAAAAGTTACAGTACAGTGAAAATTAGTTTAAAAAGTTACGTACAGTGAAAATTCACGAGGAAACTGTTAAAATAATAAAAATGTTGTTATTTTGAAAGGGAAAAGCATAATGCTCATTGAAATGTATTAGCTAAGTAACATAAAAAACCCAGGCGAGGCGTTGTTAATAGAGTGGAAGTAATTAAGGAATATATCTCAGAAAATAAATTGTCATATATATTTTTTTACCGTATATATATTAATTTTATTGCAGGAGTCCATTAAATACTTATTAATAAAATTTTATTTATAAGTTCGCACTTATGATGATGCACACTCATGGCAGTGTTTGCAATATTTTTGGCGCACTTAATCCACTTGCACTTATGCCATTCTATGCAACTGCATCGCACTTATACCAGTTCGCACTTAAGCTGATGTCTATAAGTTCTTATGGTGCACTTATACTGATTTGCGCCTATGCCAGTTCGCAGTAATGACAGGTTTTGCAACTTCTTTGGTCTTAAGATAAAAATCAAATTCAGCTTTAAACCAATTACTAAGAAAAATCTTTTAGTGATAAATTAGAAGTTGTGAGTTCCAGTAATGAAACAAGTAATAGTCATTTTTAAAGATAGACAACAGCGGGAAATTAAGTCAAGCTATCTAGCAACACTAAAACACGACAACACATTGATTACTTACAATAATAACACATAGCATCAGATATTTAACTTATAATAAATATAATCATTTAATAAAGTTAATATTTGTTTGTGGTCAAATAATATTTTATGATTATAGATGTTGTAAATATTAATTAACCATTGTTATTTTTTTTTTCCCTGTTTATGTATATAATATTAATTTATTCTTTTAAAATATTGATTTATTTTTATTATAATTTAAACCATTTTTGTTGCTATTGGTTTTGATAATTTATAACTATTATCTTTATAATTTTTATTTGTATCACTAATATTATTTAATATGATTATCGTTAGGTTTTTACTTTATATTAGTTTTAAAGTAATTGTAAGTATCCTTGACTGTAAGACCTTGTTCAGAAATATATATGATTGATACAATATAAATAGTGGATAAATAAGTATTATAAGTTTTAGCAAACATATAACATATATAAACATATAACATAAATAGCTACCACAAAAACGGTGTCAGCTACAGTTCCATTAATGCTTTTTTTAACAATAAACCGTCATTACAGAAAAACAGGAAGTGTTTCAAAATTAAGTCTTGAAAAAAGTTAAAAAAATTTTCCTTTTTTTATGCATACAAAAAGGGAGAAGACACCACTTATAAAACATAGATCGTCCAGGTCATAATTTAAAAATTCTGAAATTTCTTTGCGTACAATATGCATAATATTTTTTCTCATATTTTTCTCTTAATTTTTGCCTTCAGCTGAGTTAATTTTATCATTTTTTTGTATGAGTGATGACTAAAAAACTCCAAACATTTACACAAATGCATACTTAAACTTGTATGCATTGAAATAATTGAGGATATCCGGAAAAAAGTCTTGAAAAATACCTGGAATACCGGGAACATCCGAAAAAAAATAATCCATGTATAAAAACTACAAAATCAATTTACCTGCTTTTTTTGATACTGCTGCTGCTGCTGATGTAGCAGTCGTTGTTTGGGTTATTGAAAAACATCGTGTGGTTTTAAGTAATCAATTTAAATTGAAGATGATATAACTTCTGTTTTTCTAATTAGTTTCTAGTTTTCAATTCATAGATTTTTATGGTTTCCAATATTTTCAACATAATGCAATGTTGAATATTGGGAACAATAAAGATATAAGAAACTTTGAGTCTTGTACATCTTAAAGTTGTGATACAGAATGCAACTTTTTGTTCGCTATCAGACTAATTCATAGACTCATTCATAACTAAATTAAAAACAATGGTTGATTTTACAATTAATTAAAGTAAAATATTTTGTAAAGATGTAAACAAAGAGATTAAATAAAAGGAGTAAAGCCTACGTGTCTGAATCTCTCTTCAACTAATCTAAAACGAATTAAGCAAATGAAACAGCACAAAATCAAATAACTATGCATAAATTCCATAACTTACAAAAATTACCTTCCACACTAGTGTTTAAATGAAAAAAGGCGAACATAAAGATAAAATACAAATGAACTTCCCTTAAAAAGTCATATTCAAAAAATTATTATCAACAACAACAAAACAAAACTTTTATGAAAATAAACAGGTACTTACTTTAACAGTGTCAACAACAAAGGATAATCTAATTCTCCAGCTCTACCTCATGGGTCTCATCTTATAACTCCCAAGAATAAACTATATGCAAATAACTTTTCCTCTATTTCATTCCTTGATTATAATATATTATACAACTATAATGACTATAAAAAACTCCTCCTGTCTTACCAGAGAAACAGGTTAACCTTTTGTTAGACTTAAAAACATTGATAAAAATAATAATCTTTGAAACATTGCTAAAAATAATAGTTACACATTATTTCACTTAATAATAGTTACACTTATTTTCATGATGTATTTTCAAAGTAAACTAATTAATAAAAATTAACAAGAAATCATGCTGTAACATAAACTTCGTGTTGACTTTATGAAAAGGTATAAAATTAAAATAAAGCTGCACAGTTAAAATATCACTTTACACAACAAAATTAAAAAGTTCTAGAATGCAATATGAAAAACAAATGAACGTTATCAAAGTTAAGCACTGAAAGTATCTTTATAAAATTTCTGAAACAAATTAAAAAAGAAAAATGCCTAACAACATGTCTAACACTTTTTTTCTAACTTTATTTTGATGCAGGAAGCATTTTTGTCATTTTTTTATCTTAGATATAAACTATGATTATTATTATGACATTAGATTATAGATTATATGATACATTATATTATAATACATCATACAATGCATAACATAATGCTTAAAAAATGTATTATGACTAATCAAAGCTCAAATAATGAGTTTTGATTAGTCATGAGCTGCAACTCTCACTTTCCGCCAAAACCTGATGCTCTACCAAATAGCAGAAAAATATCTAATTAAAAAAGCTGATATTTTCTTCAAATACCTCTAATTCTAACCTGGAATTACTAACTTTTAATTAAAAATCAAAAATCTACAAAATTCAGCAATTTGAAAATTCCAAAATCTGATTTAAATAATGGTTTTCAAAAAAACAAAAATAATAATGAAATTTAATTTTTTCAAAGCTCAGCAATAACAAATATCAAAAACAATTAAATGTAGCTTGCAATAAAAAATATTTAGAGATTAGCAAAAATCATTTCTCCATATAACAATTTTCAAGTGTAAGCTTAAAAAAGACTAAACTAAGAAACGCTAGAAAGTAGCATGGGCTATTTCAAAAGTAGTATAAAGGGCTATTTCAAAAATAGTATTTTTAACTATCAGGTTCTTGAATTTTGCAAAAAAGGGACACTAGCTAAAGAAACACAAAGCTAATTGCCAATTAAAAGCTATTTTAAATGTTTTTTATAATATATTAATTTATATTATAATATATTAAATAAATAAAAATAAATATGGAGTATGCTCTTTATAAATATTATAATATACTAACCGTTTCTATAAATAATAAATAATAAATATTTTAATATTTATTTATGTCGCTAAATAAATAGATATTAAAAACTTTTAAAAATATTTTATATTAGGATATGAACCTAAATTCCACTATTTCCTTACTTTACATTGAGCACAGAACCAATATCCTTTAGGTTTGCAAGATATTTGTAGACAAACATAATGCAACCAGTCTAAACAATGATCACACTGAAGCCATTTTTGGTTTTTTCCAGCTGCCTTAGACTGCCCGCATACTTGACACGGCCATTTTTCAATCCTCACATCTTCACACTGTTTGATGACTTCAGCCCATGCATCCTCTACAAAATATTGCTTAATGTCATCAAGACTTGCTCTAGGGTCAGCAATCTTATTCAATAACTGCTTTAAAAACTGGCAGGTGGTAATTTTAGCACTCTCGTGTAAAACCTGCAGGGCAACTGTTCTTTCTACAAACCAACAGAGACGGATATGATCTTTTTCGAAACTACCTAATTTTTCAAACGCTTTTATAGCTTTGTCAAAAAGTCTCTGTTTGTTTTTACCTACACGACCAGGTGGCTTCCGCTGGGGTTGCCTTAAAACTAAATTTATATGTGGCTCTTGAGAGACTACTTCACATATTTCTTTATTTATGTATTCAAGTGGGGTAATCATAGGATCTGCACTTGAAGGTGATTTAACTTCTAAAATTTCTTTTGATGATAGATCTTTTGTAGATGTAAAATCTTCTAGACAAGGATCACTTTGATCTACTGTAGATGTAAAACCTCCTAGACAAGGATCACTGTGATCTTCTGCAGGTGTAAAAACTTCTAGACAAGGATCACTTTGAAACTAAAATAAACAAAACATTTTTCTAATGCAGTTCTTTAATGATTTGAAAACTGAAAGCATCTAAAATCCATTGACATACCATCAGTTCCCATTCACCAGAAATGCATTGTTGATTAATAGATTCTAACCAGGTTATTGCAAGTTCAAATTTTTTGGGTGGCATTTCAGCGAGCCTAGAGGCTATTGGTTGAAGGTAACTCATTGCTGTAGTAAATCTTTGTTTGGGAGTGGCACAACAGAGAGGTAATAATTCTATATTTGAGGTAATATGTGATGGCGCTTGGTCAAAACTTACCTGGTTTGCTACAGTATTGCATAAAATCCACCTAAATAAATTTATGTCAATGTAAATAATTTCTGTTATCCTAGTGTAAAGTAGGTTAAAAAATGTATCTAAAATTTTTATTTCAGTGTACACAAAAAAGAATTCTTCTAGCCAATTAAATAAAAGTAATTATTTCATTTATTGAACTATAACAGACAATCAATTTAGCATTAAAAAATGCAAATAGGGGATCATTGATACATCATTTGTTTTGCTTTTTAGATTACCTGAATGGCATGGTAACTTTTTAAAGTAACTTTTTCTAGAATAAACAATGACTCAGAACATTTAATAAGTAATAAATTGTGTGCAACATTACAATACATGTTTTGACTACTAAATTGTAAATTGATTATTATTCAAATAAATTTTAATTAAGCAATCTATAACATAAGTGGAATGAAATTTAAATAAGGTCATGAAGTTATACAATATTACGAACCTTTATTATTATTAATTAGTAGAAAACCCGAAGTTACCTTTTATGAATCAACTGTAGATCATTAACAGTTACATTCTTCGTTCTTAGAGCAAAAAGAACATGTGCACACGGCACGCAAAACCCTGATGCAGCATCACAGATGCAAACCCAGTCTATTATGTTATAAAAAGTTGATTGCCAATCGATTATTTGTAATGAATCTCTGTCCTAAAACACCATAAAATAAGTAATGATTGACTAGCAAATCTTATTGGAAAACAAAAAATAATAAAAAATGGAGTACATTTAATAAAAATTATTAACCTCATATAAACTAAAATCAGACTTAACACTTTTATCATATTGTTCCATGAGGTGACGAAGAATAAAAGAAGAAACATGACATGAATAAAACTTTAGTGGCTCTGGAAGTTTATTATTAATTTTTAGTTGTTGGTCAAAGTCTGCATGTTTAGATTTTTCTATTTGCACTCTATTAACCTTAAGAATTTTATCTATAAGATTTCCCGGTGACATGCGTGACAAAAGGCCGACATCTTTAAGTGTTCTATGATATCTAATCAGAACAATAATTAATTATTATAAAATTATTGTAAAATAATTCATAAAAAAATTTATGAATTATTTTACAATAACTTATTCGATCTAAAACTTTTTCCATTACAAGACTTTTCTATTGAAAATAATGAAGTCATCTTAAAATAAGCACCTTTCAAGTCTGTTATTAGTATGATTGTCTAAATGCATCAGACCTTTTCTATAGTGACCCATAAACATTTCTGGTATGGTCAGCCAGTTTTCTTGAAGATACACATAGAACGTAGGGAAATTTTTTTAAATATTTAACAAAGCTTCAGCGCATGTTGCCTGATTACCGTACATTAATTTCTGAGTAGCCTAATGAAACATTTAAATAGTTAAGTGAGAGCATAGTTGCATTTTTACAATAGTTTTATTCATAAATTTTCCAATTGTTAGTAAGATAAACAATAAAAATAACTAAAAAATAATATTATAATTGTAAACCTTGAATAATAATTCCTGATCGTCAGCAGTAAGTCTACCCTTTTTAATTTGATAAATAAAAGCTTTAGCTACATGAAAGCGACAGAGAAATATTTTATTTCCTGGAAAAACAGACTGTAGTCCAGATATTTCTGCTTGAGCTTTATCAACCATGAATATCGACTTTTGAAAAGTTTCAATCCCAGCCCATTCCTTAGCCTGTGTCATTAGCAGCTGTAGATGTGACTGGTCTTCACGATAAACTAAAGACTGCACTACAGGTCGCCCCATGCCATTTTGATCCACAATAGCCATTGTGTATAATGGCATAGAAAAGTTGTTAATCTGGATATTATTAGGAAATTTATTAATAGCAATTCATTATTTTTAAAAATACCTATTTTTTTAAATAGAAGTTATACCCTCAAAAAAAATCTTACGCCACACACTTAGCCAATGTTAAGACAAACCTTATAGGTACCATCAAGCATGATACACTCAGGATACTTTTTCAACAAATTTATTTGTTCAGTAGTTGTCCATGTTATACACTCTACTTTTCTATCAAGATTGGCATCAATATGGGATATGACGTTTGGTAATTCAAGAACCTTTATAACTTCATCAAGTGCAGGACCTGTTTATTTTATAGGGAAAAAAATAACCTTTTAGAAAAGTCATACAATTTAAAATTGAAGTTTCAACCATAACAAAAACCTTTAAATTTCATTCTTTGCTTTATGTTATATATATCACGAGGTCTAGTCTTTAAACCATGCCTGTTTAAATTGTCTGTTATAAGTGTAGGATTAGCACCATGAGATAGCAGAAGCATTGTCTGCTGCTCGAGAACACCTTTTGGTTGACGTTCTAAACTATACATACTGAACTGCTCAGGCCCATGTGGATGATTATGAACTAAATTTTTTTTTCTTAATATAATAACTCCTTATTTCTTTTTTATAGGCTACATAAATAGCCATCTTACAACCACTTGCTAGCACGCTATTTTCTCGTAGCCCTTTGCCTCTCTTTAAGACACTGGGCATTACTTCTCCATAATGTTTGCATATCCACCTGTAAAAATAAAAATCTGTAAAGTTGAATATTTAAGTAACATTTTATTTTTAATATTTTTATTTTTAAAATATCGCAAATTATTAATTTTTTTTATCTTCACTTGCAACAAGGAAGCACTATTTATGTTAGAAATTACTGGAAAAAAAAAGATAAAGATTATAGAGCAAGATAACGATTAACAGACAAAAAAAAAAAAAAAAGTTGAAAATTATAAGAATCAGGAAAACAAGATAAAGGAAGTGAATTAAATGTAAAACTGATACTCGAAGAAAAAAAGTAGATAAATAAGAATCTTTGAAACACTTAGGAAAAAGTAAAAGGATGAGACTTAATTGAATGACTAATAACACGACAATGAATTTTAACAGATGGCGTAAGACCACTAGCTCTTTAGAGCAGAGCCCATTTTAGTACTTGTAGAAGAAATTAAGAAAAGCAACATCACCACAATATGATTGAAGCAACATCATATGATAATGGTTGGAGGTTGGCTGCAAGAGCAGGTCCAACTAAGTTTTTCACCTTGTCTAAAAGAGAAAGAGCATCTTCGGAAGATCCTTCCCAGATATTTCAACAGTATTCCGTAGGACGGATAAATTATTTATAGAGATAAAGAATGGAAATAGGAGTCTAAAAGTGGCAAGCACGATAAAGAGATGCAAGGTTAGAAGATGCTAATTTTGATATCAATTTGATATAAGATCAGAAGTAATAGTTAATCCTAGAAGATGATGGGAAGATGACTCATCAATTATATTACCGTTCATAAATTTAGGAAGATAAAAGTTGTTGCGATAACAATTGGCTGAAAAATATTTAGTTTTATCTGAGTTCAAGTTCACCAGCCACTGAGAACCCCATGCTGTAGCAGAAGTAGCTTAAAATAGATCTGCTGTAGCAGATCTATTTTAAGTTTGGATACCTCTCCAAGCAGTCAGAGAGTGTTGGTTTTTATCAAGACAAGAATAAATATTAGTGTCATCAGCCAACAATGCCACCTAAGATGTGGGAGTTTCAGGGAGATCATTAATGTATATTAGAAAAAGTATAGGACCAAGGATGGGACCTTGAGGAATCCCTGAAGTTACCGGAAGTGAGAAGAATGCTGTCCACAAAGTATAACTTTTATAATACGATTAGTAAGGAAGAATTCAATAATCTTTAAGACATTACCTGATAAACTGTAAGACAAAAGCTTAAGGAAAAGACCCGAATGCCAAACTTTATCAAAGGCTTTAGAAATGTCAAGAGCAATGGCCTTAGCCTCTCCACAATTATCGAACACACGATAAAACCTATCAGTTATTATCGTTAATAATTAAGCAGTAGAATGAGAAGATCGAAATCCATATTTCAGATCAGAAAGTAAATTATTAGATTCAAGATGAGAAATTAATTGTGTGTTAATTAAAGACTCAAAAACCTTGCTTATGCTAGTAAGAAGACTGATGGGATGATAGATAGACAAGTCGGATTGCTATCTAAAATTTTAAAAAATAGGAAACACAGACACAGCTTTCCAGCAGGGCGGCAAAAAATGACTTCTATAAACATTTGTTAAATAGTTTTGAAAGTATAGACAACAGCTCCAAACAACACTTCTGCAAGACTATGACAGGTATGTCGTCTGGACCACAGGCTGAAGAAGTTTAAGCAAGAAATCACTTTTGATACAGAAGCTGGGGTGATAAGAATGTTAAGCGATGGATTAACCTGTTTGATGGTTAGATTAGGTAGAATGTGATTGGTCGAATCAAGAAATGAGATAAATAAAAAGTTCTTAGCGAATAATTCAGCTTTGTCTTTAAGGGAGGTAACAAAATCTAAACTGTGCAAGAGAGGTGGAATAACAGATTTGCCCCTATTGTAGAAGTCTCGAGAGCCTAATTTCTGAGAAAAAATACTATATTTTGTGACCTGGGAATAGCGAGTTTTGGTGTTAGACAAAACCATGTTACAATGGTTTATAAAATAACAGCTTTAAAGAGATCAAACCATTATCAGAAGAACCTAAGTGTGAATGTGGAGAAACTGAGCATTGACAAGGATCAGAAACAAGACATAAGTCAAGTAGAGAAGATAAATGATTCAGATTATCCAGAAAGTTGACTATTTGTGTTAGAGATTGAGAAAAGCAAAAATTGTTGGCCTCAATGTCATAAGAGTCACTTACATTAGAGCCGAGCTATTCAGTGTGATTAGCATTAAAGTCAAAGTACAACAATATTTGCTGAAGGATAAAGAGAAAGAGTTTGGTCAATTTGATCAGCAATGACATCAAAAAGTGCAGTCCTGAGATGAAGAAGACCGATATAAAACAAAAAGAAAGGTGAGACAGTGGAGTCGTGCTAAATGAAAGCCCAAAAAAATAATCTGCGGATTCAAACCTAGTTTCCCAAAAAACTAGTGAATTCTTATGAATGTAAATGTCTAGGCCAAGCATGTGACTATTAGCGTATAGTAAATTTCATATTTATTTCAAAAAATAAAAATCAAGCTTAAGAAAAGGTTTACTCTTATGTAAAATTAAATTTCAATGTAGGTTTGCTACTGACTACTATTTGATTAGAAAATGTCTTGATACCAAAATTTTCACATTTAGACATTATTAAAATGAAATAAAATTAATTTCTATTAAAGTAGATTTAATCCGTTTTTGTTTAGACTCATTATAAGCGCAGTGGCAAATTAATTTTATAAGAGACTTCGACTTGTCTCTCTGCCGTATAAAAATGTGATTTAGATACTATTATTATATTCACAATTAGTTATTTAATTGAATTATTCATTAATGTTGAAAGCTTGATATTCATCCTTCACTAAAAATTTCTAGATTTAGTAGACTTGGAAAGGATTTTATTCCTCATTAGTTGCTTACAAACAGAGTAAATACTATATAATTTCACAACAAGAGCAAAAAAGCATAACATGCAGTCTATACCAAAATAAATGTTCTAACAAAAATCAATCTAATTTCATTTGTTCTTGCTCAATGGAGAAATGAAAATGTTAGGTTTCAACAACCAGTTATTTTTGGGGAGAAATCACTTTATTATAGAATAAAAACTTTTTGGGAAAAACAATTTAAAACATCGCATGAAGAAGAACTGAAGCTAAGGTAAAAGAACTAATACCAGAGTTTTAAACTAATAGACCTCATAACAAGTCCTCATACAATATTTTTATGAGCATAATCTGTTTGGGTATCCCCCAAAAATAGTACGATTATAGCACACATAAATTGCAGCTGTATTTTTACTACACGAATTTTAACTATGGAGCTCATGATATAAAGTCAAAGATATAAGACAGGTTGAAAGTCTGAGATGCAGATAATACATGCTAATAATTTGAAGGGACAGTTACATTCTATTATTATCAAGAGAATCACATTACTGTGGCTATAAAACTTTGTGTTTGATATCTATCTGAATGCACGTATTCATTCGGACAAACCAGCTACAAAGCTTCCTTAAGTTGTTTGTTTTTCTTAGCAAAAATATAATCTTACTAAATGATGTGTAACACTTATAGACTAAACAAGTTATTTTCGTGTCACCTAATAAAAGGAATTAATGGACCAACATCATTTAGTACTGGATTTGTAAATCCTACGGGAAAATATCCTGATATTTATAAAATGGAGTATAATCTTCAATTTAAAACTTGTGCAGATGGAGAGAGCTTTGTTAACATTTCAGAAACAATACTAAAAAAGATGTCAACGCATCATAAACAATATTATAAGCTATGTAAAACTTAAAAAATCTAGAGCTACTTATCTTATTCTGTTTACAAATTACTTTAAACTTTTTTTAACATAATAAAAAACAAATTTAAAGATGCTTCTACATTCTGTTTCAATTGAGAATTTTCAGAAATCAACCTGATAGGGTAAAAGAAAGAATGACACCCTATGCCCAGCTAGGAGCTTGGTATGCAAAGTATATGAATGTCTTCATTATCTAGTAATAATGCAGAACAAAAAATATGAACAAAATAAGAACAAAATATGGTAAACTTTGCAGTTTACCATATTTTGATACAACAAGGCAACGATATTGTTAGAGATACCAGAATCAGACCAAGAAAAATACCTAAAGAACTTTGCAGCAAGAGATAGTTAAACATAAAAATACTGTAGTACAAGAACCTGTTTTAACTTGTTTTCTCACAAAAGGTAACTTGTAATTGCTAAGATTGACACCTGTAATAACTCCTTCAGTTAAAATTTTTACCCAAAGTACAGAGCATGCTGTAAAACAAGTGACATTTGCATCCATGACCATAGATAGGCCTGACGCAAGAGATGGTATATTAGTTCTCAACATAGACAGTTGCTACCTGGGTTAAAAGTGGCTTACGTGTTAAAAACAAAGAAATAAATTCTGTTAAGTTTTTAATGTATATAGATTTGAAAGATGTTATTTTATTTTTTAATAGAGTTTTAGAGTGTTTTCAAAATATTATTTAGATAAGATAGTTGTATTTTGGTAAAACCGCATCACTGGCCACCAGCGACGGATTCAGACATCCTACGGCCCGGGTGTTTTGTTTTTTTGGAGGCCTGTTTTATGTGGAAAAGCCTAAAAATAAAAAAATAAAAAAAAAGCTCCTCTAAAATATTTGGGGGCCCCTAATTTGTGGGGCCTGGGCATCATACTTTTCAAATTTTTGATTTTGAATTCGGCGGATGATTTTAATGGTGCCACTATATGTAAAAATGAACTTCCAAAATAAAAAAATTTGAATAAAATTTTTTTTACCAAGACGGGATGGCAGTTTTCGAAAAGGTGAAACAGTTCATTTATGCATAAATGCAAGAGGGGTCAAAATTTTAAAATTATTGAAATATGAAACTATTTAAATTTTTTTTATATATATTATTATATGCTGTGAAATGTAAATAATTTTTTTTTCTAAAAAAAAATAAATTTTCGCAGGGAAAAAGGCCTTATAAGATTGAAAAAATATATAAAAATTGGAATTTTTTTCATAATAAATTTTCAGACTTTATTTGTTGGAATGAAGTTTTTATAGTTCAACTTAACAACATCGTTTAGCTTTACAATATTTAATACAAAACAAATTTAAGTTATAATATTGTCATAAAAATGTTTTGGTTTACGATTTTGATATGAAAAGGTTACTAAAATTTTTTTTTGATTAAAGCTTGGGCAAAGTTTTCCTCGTTACATAACATAATTTCACACTTGCACATGTTATATCTAGAAATTCATCCAGTTTTGATTCCCAAAAAGACACGTGTGTCTGAGAAACTTTCCCATGTGCTATATCTTTGATCTTGTTCCAGGAAAACTCAATTTTTTCCATCAAAGTTCTTTCCAATAACCACTGGAGGTTTAAAAAGAGCATTTGCTTTCATCTACTGCTGAAAAACGATATCAGCTAGTAGTCGAGAAAAGTCTCTCAATCAAATATTCCTTCTAAAGACAAAAATAAATAATATAATGCAAAATGTATAATTTATTTCATAAATTTTGAGTTTCTTGATTATTACCTGTTAACATCTTCTTGAAGTAGAGCTTCTTGGATAAGCAGACCTTTTCTCAAAATATCTCTTAAAGTTGGCACTTCTGACGGAATAAGATCCTTACTTCTGCCTAAATATGTTGATAACTTTGTTTCCATAGAGAGTTGTGTTTTTTGAAGTAGTCATAGTTAATTTAATATAATTATTAGAATTGGCATTTATATGATTGCAAATAAAAACAAGAACTCTTTGTATACAGTTTTTAAACCACGAAAAACTCATAAAAACATAATTACATAGTAAAATCATAAAACTCGTAAAAGATAAACTCATAAAAACATAATTACAAAGTTGAATAGTCTGAAATCACTTACAATTCAACCGCCAAGTGAAATAACAACATCATTATTAAGATACACTTTTAATTATAGTCATTTTAACTGATTTATAAAGACATCATTCATAAAAATAAAGTCTGAAATTTTCTAGTAAAAAAATGCCAATGAATGTCCTTGTTATTTAAAAAATTTAACATTATATTTTATACTTTAACATTTTTTTTCAATCTTATAAGGCCATTTTCCCCGCAAAAATTTAACTTTTTTAGAAAAAAAAATTATTCACGTTTCACAGCATATGGTAATATATATATAAAAAAATCTAAATAGTTTCATATTTCAATAATTTTAATATTTTGATTGTTTTGAATTTTGAGTTTATGTCTTAATCAGGACAAATTGTCTTAATCAAATACAATCAGTCAATCAATATATCAATCAATATCAATCAATTTATATTTTAAAATACAAAAGTTGTTACAACTCAAGGTCATTTACAAATAGTAATGAACTAATCCAAAGTAAATACCAGATATTAATGGCAATAACAAATAAAAATGAAAATAATTATAACAATAATAATATTATAAATAGTATTAAAGACATTCATTATATAAGAGTAATGTAACACCAAATAATAATAACTACATTCCATGCATATGATAATAATAAATACAACACATACATAATAGCAATATTAAATAAATATTTATTAGCAAGAATAATAGTCATATAAACAAAAAATAAATTTAAATAATTTAAATAAATCATTACTAAATGCCACACAACAATCGTTTATACATACAAAGTTACAGTTAAAAACAGTAATAAACAGACAAAACGTAACAACTAACAATGACATAAAAAAACTATTGTTTAAAAATTCTAAAGACTTAGTTAATATAACAATCATAATTGTTATAATATAATAATCATATAATAATATAATTATTGCAAAAATAATAAACAAATAAATAAAATAAAAACTGATAAAAATAAAACAAAAAAAACACACACAAAAACGTTATGAAACAAAAGAACTTATAACAACAACAAAAAAAAATAACATAATAAACAAAACATTTAATGTAATAAAATAAACAACAAATAGTAGTACCAATAAAAAAGCATAAAAACAACAAGAAAATGTAAAAACACATAAAAATATACATCTGCTCGTTCGTTATTGGAGCAATTATTTCTTTTTTTTTATTTATTTACTTCTCTATGTATTGTTATTTTTATTGTTTCTTTTGCTTTCGTTTTTTTTTCTTTGTTTCTTTCAGTGGGAAAAATATAATTGAAATTTTCAGTCATCTTTAGTTGTAACAATTTGACTGTTTTTTACCATACGGATTTAAATTTTGCTAATTAAAACTCTTGTACTTAAAGATATACCTGTTGTCTGTCACTTTAAAACATTTCCAGTATGAACTTAATATTTATTTATTTTTAATAGAAAAAATTAAAGTTTTTGAAACATAGGGCTTAATGCCCCACTTACAATATTGTACATAAGTACTCAGTACTTATGTACAATATTGTAGGGTAAAGTAAGTGCTGTACTGCAGTACTGTACTGTACATATAATAATGTACAATTGATTAATATATGATGTGAACGTATACATCATTTGTACAATTGTACATATAATTGTATGTACAATTGTACATACAATTGTATGTACAATTGTACATACAATTGTATATAATATTGCTGAAACAAATAATATTGCTGAATAAATTTCACTGATTGTGGAACACAATAATAAAAAATGTTGTGCTAGCATGCTATAAGTAGCAAAACATCATCTATTAATATCACAATAATACTATTAAAAGTGATTGTGGAACTTGTTCCACTATCTTATTTATCTATTTCAGCAATTGTCACAGCTAACCTTATTATTACTGGTATTACCAATACTATCAATATTTACTATTATTATTATATAGGGCTCACCTACAACCATATGTAGCGTTAAGAGGAATACAACATATCTGGGAACCTTCCTTTACTTTTTTATTATAATGTTCAACTTTTTCTTTTGAGTCGATTTTGACGGGGTGAAAATTCATTCTACAATATTCAATAACAGACTTTTCTGCTTCATCAAAATCTCTAAAATTCTTCATGAAAATGTCCTCCATTTTTTAATCTTTAAGAGTCTTATTGAAAATCTTCTAACTACTAAATTTTATTCAAGAACTCTCTTCGAAAATATACTCGTTGTTTAAAGCGGTAAGCAGAAGATAGTATGCCTCAGGATGTGTTTTTTAATTATGCGAACTTTATTAATTACGTCAGTTAACGTTGCGTGAATTTTTGGATAGTCAAGGCGCAAATAATAAACAAACAGCCGAGTTAAATCAAACCAAATAAATTATGAAAAGCACTATATTCAAGGAAATAACTAACAGTGCAAATACTTATATAAAGTTAAAGCTTAACAAAACATTATAAAAATTAAAAAATATTAATCACTGATTAAATTTATTTATAAGTGTCACCATTTTTATTAATCAGTAACTTATTATTAAACTAAAAGTGTTATATACATTGTTATACTAAATGTATTTATTATTTCAATTGATTTTTTTTTTTTTACAACAAATAATAATAGTAATATTAATATAAGAAATAATAATTTCAGCAATTCAGAGGGAATGAATAAGTCTTATTCATTCCCTCGTTATTTTTTTGTTAGAAAGATACTGCTTAGAGAACTTTGTGGATTCCCCCTTTATTTATAAGTTATTATTTCTTATATTATTATTACATTTATTATTTGTTGTAAAAAAATTAATTTACAAAAAAAAAAATTAAACAAAAAAATAAGTTGCTAACTTATAAGTTAGCCATGTCATGGTATCTGCATGGTATATATCATATATAACAAGTTATAGTATATATCATATACAATCAAATTATGTTTATAACATATATTGTATGTTATAAACATAATTTGATTGTTTTGTATAGAAATTATAGAGTCAAATATATCTTAAAAAATCTATTGTGGAAAAGCCTTGGCTTGCAGGCTTATTAAGTCTCAAAAAATAATGTGTTAGAATTTTTCTATTGTATTTATAAAAACAATATCTTTATTTTCTATTTTGTTTATAAAAGCAACTTATCATTGTTTTTATCATTATTATTTTTATTATCATTAATATAATCATTATTATTAGTAGTAATTTTTATTATTATTTTTTCATGTTGTGATTTTTATGTTTATTATCATAAATATTACTTTTTTTTACAAACATAATTATTTTAATCATTTTCCTTAGGTGTTTACTTAATATTAGTAGTATTACAATTTGTAAACAACCTTGAAATGTAACCATCTATCAACTATTTCAGAAGTATATTGATTAATATCTAAGAAATGATTCAAAGGTTGCGTGGTATATATTTAGAACAGAATTATTAATCATAATGAAAAATTTTGGCTACCATCGGTGGTGTCCTAAACTAAATGCCTAAAAATTCTCAAATTGCAAATTATAAATGCAAAGAAAGCTTTCAATATATATTTGCTCAACTATTTTTTGTTAATTTTTTTTTTTTTTATTAAATTTGAATTTACTTCCCCAAAACTATGAAAGTCACTACATTAGTTGTGGTTACAACCCACTATCACTATGTACTAAACTATGTATACTGGTGAGTAACAAAAAATTTATTTTTACCTCAAAAAGAGGCAATCAACAACACGAAAGACAGAATTATTTAAACCTAATAAAATATATTTCATTAAGATTGATTAAAAAATTGCACTATTTAATTGAAAGTCAATTATAATGTTCCAACTTGGCTTAGAAAATAATATTTCAAAACATAATCAAGATTTACAAACTATGAGCTAAGTTTGCTTCTAGAAAAACAATTTATTGACATTGATTAAACATGCCTAATGTTATTTATTTTTATCATAACTTGACTTTGCTAAGCGTTAACTTTTTAAATTACTTTTGTATGTAGTTTAGAAAATTTTGTTATTTAAGGGTAATTTATAATGGTAGCCAGTATTTACATTTGTTAAAACTGAATTTTTAAAAATACTTTATTAAATAAATTATTACAAAATTATGACATAACCTAAATTAGAAACAAATGGTAAAAACAAATGATGCCATTTTTTTGTTGCCAAATTTAATTTTTCCATTTGTTTGAACTCCATTTCACAACACTTCATTACCTTTGATTGGTCATCCCTAAATAAAAATAATTCAATTCTTATAGCACATAGGAACTACATAGCAGTATATGTTTATTTGATTTTAATATTTAATTATTTTTAGTAATAAAAATCTAACTTTAATAAATATAAATAACAATTTTATAAAGTTTTAAGATGTTGTTTTTTGTTGATAACAAGTAAAAATTAATAAATGAAGGGTAAGGTCTTTATAAACATGGGTTATGTGGAAAAAGTTGCCAAATATTAATAAATATTCCCTTCTGTTTATTAAGCACCTAAGAGTACATTTTAAAAGTATAACTTAATAAAGTTATTCACTTTTTTAGTGAAATAGTTTTTATTACTTTAAATAAAACTATTTTAGAAAATACTGTAAAATGTTTAATATTGTTTTACTTCTTTGGGTTGATCTTCAACTTCATACTGTTAGAAATGATTTTGATAGTTAAACATTGAAAACAAATGTTTAACTTTCACATCATAAACTAAAAATGGTAGTTGATTTAAAAACCAAGTTAAAGATTTCACAAATTCTATAAAAGAAAGCAATGTACATTAGAAGTAAGTTTTTATTTTGTTATTTTTATATTCATAATTAAGTTTTATAATTTAAGTTAACTTTTTAATTTTTATTGTATAAGTTATTTTAACATCAAATAAAAATTGGCACTATAATAAAACCTTTATTATTACTACTTTTATCTCAAAGCTTCTCCTTACACTTTTCAAATTCAAAAATAATCAGTTTAATTTTTTATTAGATAAATATTCTTCCTGAGTGATTTTTAGTATTTTTAGTATTCATGATGAACACAAGAAGACCAGCTTTTATCATCCCACAAATGGTTCCACTCTAGGTGTTTACCAGGGTATCTTTTTGTTAGAGTATCCCTTTGTGTTATTCCAAATGGACTTTTTTCAGGGTATCCCATCAAGACAATTGCCACAGACCTTTGTATTGACCCTGAGATCAGAGGACACTTAGTGGACTTCAGTACAACTTGCATTCAATTGTAAGTGGTTTTTGGACATGAGTGATAGTAAGTGTGGTGATTTGTTACAGTTTAACAAGGGTTGGTTAGAGTTGTGAACTGTTTTTATTTTTTATGACTTTGCAAGTGATGTATCAATGGAGAGTATGTGTGTATGCATTCTGTAGTGCCATGTATTATTAGTATGAGTGATTAATACAAAAGTAGTTGAAAGTCATTTAACCTAGTATAACGTAAGGTAGACATGAATTCTAGTAGCCATGTAAAATATATCTAAAAACTGTTACAACTATATTATTTAGAATGTTAAAACAGAATGACAACAATTTAGCAACAATATCTTGTATATATATTTCATAACTAATAACCTAAACTTTTCTTTTGAAGATGGTGATGAGCATTATATTCAGAGTGTTAATTTATTAATTTCTGATTTTGAAAATGTTGTATTACTGTTGTATTAATTTATTAATTTAATTACCAATAACTTATTAACAATAATAAGAGCATTAGCAACTTATTTGTATTTATCTACAAATATTAAATTAATACCCAATGGAAAAAAAAGTGTCACAAACATTCTCTACAACATATTAGTTAACAAACAAATAAAAAATAACAAAATATACCTTCTAATTTCCGATTTTTTATTAGGTCTTTCTTTTTCTCAGTTGACATTTTCATGATTTGCAATCTTATATTGTATTGACTCTCAGTTTATGATTCAAAAGTTAAACATCAGGTTTTGATGTTAAGCTCTCAAAATCATGACTGAAACTCAGCATCAAAAGGAATTAGCTAACATTATATCCTAAAAATGTAATAAAAGTTTATATAAGTATATTTTATTTAAACTAATTTATAAACATTTACCTTTATCTCAGTTACCTTTATCATGTGTTAAAATAACTATATTTTTATTTTGTTTAAGAATACTTGAAAAAAAAAGTAGTTACAAGACAAAGATCCTAATCTACTAAGACAAGGGCAATTATAATGTTTGCTACAGAAATTACATAAACAACTTTTTTTACTAAAAAGCAATTTAAGCAAATCTATCCAAGACAATCACAACCAGCACGTAAAAAGTTTGAACAAACTCCTAATTTCAGACCTATTATTTCTTCATTATGCCTATTATTATAAACTACCTACATTCTTAAGTACTTTAGTCAAACTGTGTATTGATCATCAAAAGATTCCTTTACTTTTCTTGAAGAATTAAAATTACACAATTTCAGTAATAATTTTTTAATTTCTTTTGATGTTGAAAGTTTATTCACTAATATTCCATTGGAAAAGACCATTGAATTAGCAGTTTCTAAAATTGTTCAAAGGGATGCAAAATTACTTGTTCGGGTGTGAAATCATTCTATCAAATTTTTGCTGTAGGTGTATTTTTGTTAGGTGCACTTTTGCTGTATTTCGAGATCTCGTGTAATGACTAATATTACTCAATATTAGTCATAAATTTTAGTAATAACTAAAATGGCTCTTTAAGTTCAATAAAAATTGAATAAAAATTGAGTTTGCATTGCCATTCTGATTGGTAAACAAATAATAGTGATTTTTCTGAATCATTTTCAGTAAACTTCAAATCATCTTCTTCTTCATTAATGTCTTCATTTTTATGTATTTTGTCTGCTATGTTATTTAATGTGTAGTTGTTTTTAGGTCGCAAAAAAATATTTACTGATGGATCCTCATTTTGCCACGTTTTTATTTTAACATGAAGGCATTCCTGGTCAATAAAAGAAAGTTGTAATTTCTTTCGTGCTTGTACCATATGCGATCGAATAATGTTGTTGGTAGGGAAAAATCACCTATTTCTTAAATCAGGCATAGATGTTTTATCAAACATGTCATTTTTAACAAAGATTTTTAGTAGGCGTTTCATTTCGTGTATACTTTTTACTTCATTGGCATAATCTATTATTTTTTTAGATAATCTAGGATCAATTTCCTGTGAAATACCAGCAAGCTAAAAAATTAAAAATAATTTTTATTTTTAATTTTTAATTTTTGAAAAGGATTTCAACCAGCCAACAACAGTAGTCGAGTCACACTTTATGGTAATACATTCGAATCCCTATTTTGTTGGTAGATTGATTCCTTTTATCACAGCTTCTAACTCTGCGAGGTTAATGTGAGCCGCATCATCTTGTTTTCTCAGCCACGAGTAGTCTTCTACTATTTCCCTAACCACTTCCAGAACTATGCCAACAGCTAAACTGCTTGCATCGCACCACACTGTTACTTCAGAAGTGTTTTTTACGTTCCATGACCCATGAACCGGATCTTCCTTTGTAAGTCTTTCATTTAAACTGCTTACTAATTTGACAACACCATTGTTCACCAAAGTGTCCCATCCACAACTACTCGAAACCCTTTTTAGATAGCTGCACAAAGGCGCAACCAATTTGCTATTGGAAAATGTCCAGTCAGCTGTCCGCACCAAGAAAAGACTTGCGGACGCGTCATTTTTCCATCAGGAACTTTGAGTATGTTGTCACGTTTCCAGCGCACTTGGTTGCATTGTTTGTACACTCGCAATCCAAGCACACGCCCACCAACAAGTTTTTCTGGCAGCTTAGAATCCAAGCCATATTTTTTCAAGAGTTCTTGAACTCTGCAACTCGACATTATGTTATTATTGACAATGATGTCATCAATAAATGAATCTGTCCCAGACAACATAATGGTATAAAATACAAAAACATTGATACGCAAGGAAAATAGGTTGATAAATAAAAGTTCCAGCGATGCCCAATACATAAACATGCTATTTTATTTGTAAAATTATGATTTAATAATTTATAATTAATGTTTATTATAATAATTTATCAAAATGTTTATTATAATAATTTATAATAAACATTTTGAACACTTTAATTTTCACATCAACCTCAACTGCAATACAGTGGTATACCACTAATGATAATACTTGGTGTATTTTAATTGACATATTAAACAATATTATCCATGCAAAATATCATCTTACAATTTGGTAAGTATAGTAACTATATTAACTAAAGTATACTATACTATAATACTTAACTTATACCCAACAGCTACATGACTTTAAAAGTGAATAGCTAAATATTTATCAAAAATTCTTTTTGAAAAAAAAAAAAATAATTTCTAAATTTTTCAAAACATTTACTTTATAAACAATTTAATAATAAAATTTAACTTACTTCTCTAACAGCATGGTTTCTGTGTTCTGAAATGTCATCAATAATTAGCTTAATTCGCTTCTCAGTGAATCCAATGTCGCTCTTGTTCTTGAGCAAATTTTTTATTTTTAAAGAAATTTTTCTCTTTTTCCATGTGTTGGGTTCAGCAAGGTTTAAAATTATGAAAACGGAAATAAACAAAAAAGAGGTAATTAATGTTACAGTTTATGCAGTGACATGCCCAAAAAAATTATACAGTTTATGCAGTGATATGTCCAAAAAAAAAAAGTTACATGGATAGAAGTATGTTCAAATAAAACATAATAAGCATTACTAAAACTCCGGTCTAGACCTGCATTTAAATAAATTACATCTCAATTTTGTCTTATTAAAACAACGCTGCGAGTGTGTTTTACTTATATGGCTTTGCACTCTTTTTGCGTTGAATTAAAAGTAGTTCTAATATTGGCGTGAATTATAAATTACAAAACATGTTTAAAATGCTATTCTTAAAATTTTTTTAATGTTGGTGCATTATATATAGTACCAAAAATTCTTATTATCTTAGTAAATCACTTTAAAATTACCATGTAATCCTTGAAGTATATAATTTCCTTCAAAATAACTTGGGCTGGGCATTCAAATTTTTTTGTGTCCTGCACATTAATATAACTCCTCATACAAGAGTGTTCAGTTATCTAAAATTATAAAATAAGTACATTAATAACAGTTATTTATTAATGATTAATTTATTATTTGTATCTTTTTTTATTGATAATAAAATTTACCTTTGTTTTTGTCTTATTCTTGTATGCTTTCTTTGCTGCATCATTACGATCTATTCCATGTGAGCAATCCAAAACCTTGCGTGCTAAAACCATAAATGGAACATTTGCATAGCATCCTTCACTTTCCCATAACACTTTGTGCTTTTTACTATGAACATCTAGATATAACACAATTTATTTTACACAAATACATAGCGAACTGTGTACTCTAATTCATGTTGTTTTATGAAACAAAAGGCCTCATTTTCATCATTATAAATAAATGTATGGCTTTTTCTGTTAGCTATAAACAACAATATAAATAACTTTACAATTTAAAAGCATTGAGGCTGGTTAGTAAATATGGTCTAAAACTAAATGCTAGTAAATAAATGGGCATACATTTTACAAACTTTTAATAAAATTACTTGAGTATCACTGAAAAATTTATATATTAACATATTTTTTGGAAAATGTTGGAAAAGGAAAAAGTATAACTTTGTGAATTTACCAAGCTTGGTAAATTCACAAAGTTATACTTTTTCCTTTTCCAACATTTTTCAAAAAATATGTTAGTATATAATTTTTTTTTTGTCTTTTAATATATAATATATATTATATAATAATATATAATAATATATAAATTTTAATATATAAATTTTTTAATATATAAGTTAATATATAAATTTTTTTTTGTCCAAGTATCTTGGTCAGGTACTTGCAAGTACCTGACCAAGATACTTGGTATTAAAATTGAAAATAATTTGAACTTTACTATACCCATTATTTGTCCTGCAGCTAAAATAGCTAAGATGAAAGTTTATTTTATAACTTGTATTATATAATAACTGACTGGGGGGAGAAAAAAAAATTTTTTACACAACTATTGCACATCATTTTGAATAGAGTGCTCCATTTTTTTCTGAAATTCTCAGATGATCATCGTAGCTTTTTTTGTAAATTACATTCTCTTATATTAATTTCTTTTTCATATGAAAAAGAAAATAATATAAAAGAATTTAATTTACAAAAAAAGCTACGATAGCTATCTTTTTTAGTCACTGGCACAAATGTAGTAAAAATTGATTCATTCCATTATAATAATTTTATTACCTTAACCAATGTTATCCCGAATCAAAAAATTTATAATCTTTTATATTTTTAAATCTATTTTATAAAAATATTATTTTCGAATGATATAATTATTATAACATGTAAACTTACTATTATCTTTATTTTCATCCATTTAAAGTTTATAAAACATAAAGCACGTGGAAATAACGAATGAAAACAAATACGCAACGTAATTTAACATTACCATGACGTAACAAATAAAATTCGCATAATTAAAAAACACATCCTGACGCATACTATCTTCTGCTTACCGTTTAAAGCATGCGCATTTTGGAAAATGAAAGTAAATTTTAAAAATATTCTAAAAATAGATTTTCACTGTACCTATCAAAAAACGCATCCTTAGGTACAGTGAATTTTCACTGTATTTATAATTAACGCTGAAAAATAGAACGTAAATAGTTTTTCGAATAATTTTAAGAATAATTTTTTCGCTGAAATATTTCTTTTATTACTAAAAAATTTTTATTCTAACATATTTTTTTTTACTAGAAATAAAATTCCTTGTTAACATTAAAAATCTATTCAAAACGTTCGTTTAAGTTTTTTATTAATACGAGTGCTTATTAACCGCTTTATGAAAATAAATAAAAATAAATAAATATTATATAAAATCGCTTGTAAAAAATATTAGCTATTGCACAGTTTTTAATCGTACAATATTAAAATTTCCAGTTTATTACTCGCTGACTTTTTAAAAAGAAAAAATAATTATTTGAAAAACTTTAAATTACATATTTAAGAAAAAAAAATCAAATATTAGCATATTTTACAATTTTTTTTAAATTTAAGTTATAATGTTTTTTATTCGTTTAAGTATAGACAAAACGTGACAAACGTCGAGAAAATAAACAAATGTTTTTACATTTTAAAAAACGAAACATTCCAAAACATTTTTAAATAATAACATTTCTACATAAACGATTTAAAGTAGTTTTGCGGTAATTAAGTAAATTGGTGCAGTTAATGTCGATAAATATGAAAAGCAAATAAAAAGAATTTAATGACGTCAAAAATCACGTCGTGCTTATGCGTCGCGCGGTTCTTATTCATCGCAAGGCCTGACATATAAAACGTCGCTTTTTGATGAGGGTATGTGAAAATGTGATTATTTAATTTATTGATTAAATCGATAAAATAATCGCATTTTTATTATTTTTCATGCATTTTTAATACTTTATAAAATCTTAACTATTTTTCACTATACTAACTTGAAACTTGTGGAAAAAATTTCCATAACCATTTCTATGATTTCCAGTTTCCCAAAGCTATATTGAATAGCTTTTTTGTTATACTACTTTTGAATTTTCAACTGCATAAAAGAGTTGCCAGCAGATATAATTTTTTTAAATATTACTTTAAGTAATATATTACTTAAAGTAATATTTAAAAATTATATTACTCTAATTAATGTATTAGTATAAACGTAGTCAATATTGATGATGACATTCGTTTATAATTATTACTATTTTTTTTTTATTATCATTTTTTTTTACCAACCAACTAGAGACACTTGCAGCTGAAACCAGACTTACACAGGGCCCTTGACGCCCGGTGTTATTTGGGAGCCGAGACTCCGTATTTTGGCCCACTTAAGGGTTAGTTAGGCCCACTTAAGGGTTTAGTTGTCACTTAGCCAAAGCCAAGCAGCACCAACTTAATGGTTTATCTCCATTTAACGTCCGGAGTGGACGGATTGCCTTGAGATTTCCGGACGTCAACCAAAATACCCTGAATTTATTTGCAAGCAAAGTTTAACATTTCAAAACATCTAAACCATTTTGAATAAATGTTTACATTAAATGAATAATAAATGTTTTGAAATATTATAGCATAGTATAACACTGGGGAACACAATTTTTGTTAAATAGGATCTGATAGGTGTTATTGATTAATTTATAGGTGCTAAATTCAAAAACATTTCTCAGTTTTCTCTATCACGTCAAGTTTGTAAACTCTAGGGTTTTCATTTTCTTAAAAAATGTGATAAAATGTAAATTATAATGAACTTAGCAGACACAAGCTTACCTGAATTGTGATGTTCAAAATCTGTATCATTACTGTCACTGCTTTCATCAACATAATTCATTTCTTCTAGAGAAGATATTCGTTTGAATACTCGCATTGGAATTTCATTTGAATAACACATTGGTTTTATAAAGGGTTTGGAAAGACCCAGAAAATTTATATTCCTGAGTTTGTTTTTTTTTTTTTATTTTATTTAGGTGCCCCAAGAAGTCCTTACGGTCTTATTACAGAGCATCGTGGATGAGCATTTAATTGGAACTTCACGTCTCCTTCCTAACCTATGTCGCAAAAATTGCCCACGGATCCTTTGTTTTTGAGGCAAATACTACGAGATTCAAGATTATATAATTAATTCCTAGAATTTCACTGGAAATCCCGGTATCATTTTATGCTTTAAAACTAAAAGAAAAGTTATAACTTAATTAATTATATTGCAATAAAATTAACAAAACTTATGCATAAAATTATTTATTTTGTCTTTAGAAAAAATACTCGCAGAAAGCTTAAATTATCTAAACTAGAGTCACTTACGCGACTTTTTATTTTGATGCAAAATAGTCTTGTGGAGGAAAATCCTCTTTCTGACTATACGCTCGTTGGTTTAATCGTCATTATAAAATTAATCCGAGCACAACCACTTTCAAACTGTGACGTTTCTTTTGATAATTTAGAAGTAAGAGTTTCTTTTATTCGTGACAAAGAATTTCTGAGTGTTGCTAGAAATCCTTATTTTAGGGCTTCATTTAGTTGCTCGATAATAATTTTTGACATTTCATTATCTGCGCTTTTTGCTATTTAGTCATCTTCTTTATTTGTTTTTCCCGCAATGTAGATAGTTTAGCAGACTACTTAATTCAGTTCTCGGCTCTTTGACTCTGAAGGCTAATTCATTAAAAAGTTGACAACTTGTTGAAGTATTCAGTTCTTTTAATTTAGTTAGCATTAACTCTAAAGCAATGTTAGCAGTTATAAGATTTGCATCGCGTCAACAAAGTGCTTCCTCTGCTGCTTTTACTGGAATTAGCATATTTACTAGTTCAGAAACAATTTAATACTCATTATCTGGCATTTTTATAGAATCATTAATACTGATATTAACAAGCGCCTTTTTTATGGAATTTTTTAACTTTTAAAATCTTATAACGTATTTTTGAAGACAGACATCATTTTTAGTTAGTTAAACTTTTGAAAACCATCACGTTTTTTCTAACTGTTGCGATAGCGCTTAAGGCCTATCGCGTGTTATTAGTTTTATGCGTGCTCTTATTTGTGTCACGTGATCGCAATGCGATCTGTGAAAATAGTTTAGTTAGTTCCTAGTTATAGTCATTGCTCGCTTCTTACTGTAATAATATATAACGAGAGAAAGCTAAATCTATATCAATAAACATATATTGTATTTTGTTGGTGTTTATACCCTTATACAATAAAAATATTGGAGCCCACGGAGACAGGTGGTAACACCAAATTTAGTTGAATTTGGAAGTCATACCTGAGTCATCAACAAATGATTATAATCTAGATATAAATCAACGTAATAAACATCTTTCCATGTTGTTAACGCATTTCCAATTAAGATGGAAGAACGAATATTTAAAGAACCTGTGCGAACATCATAAATCTTCCAAAGTAAAAGGTTCAGCTATAATTAAGAAGGGCGATGTTGTGTTAATTGACGATTCCCCTATATTGCGTATACTTTGGAGGGTTGGCATAGTTGAAGACATCAAATATTCAAAAAACAATGAGATAAGAAGTGCAATAGTAAGATTTATACATAATAATACCTGTCAGCGAGTTAACAGACCTGTAAATAAGCTATACCCTATTCAATGTGGTACAGAACAAGTAAATAAACTAAAAATATAATTTGTGAATGACGGTCTAGTTCCGCTTTGTGTAGACGGTTCTTTGTCGAGGGGAGTGTTGCGATAGCGCTTAAGGCCTATCGCCTGTTATTACAATAAAAATACTAACTTTATTAATCACAGGATCAATCGTTTTGTTTGTAAATA